TATAAAATACCTTAATAATAGTCTTATTCTACCCTACGTGAGTATCATCAGAATTAACTCCACACATTGGCGTCGTCGAGATATTCGGTAATAGTGTAATATGCATTAATCATAAGTTGACTTTTGATTTTACGTTTAAATTGATCAAGCGGCAGACTTAATATCGACTGTGGGATTTTATTATACATGCGCACACCTTGCCCCATGAACGACCTATTTACTTTTTGTAGGCGAAACAATGGCGTAGTAAGTATGTCCTTATTTTTAGTGTTTAATTTATGTCTGTCACTATTCTTTAGGTAAAAATTAAGATTATGACGAATATACAAAACATTACAATAAATGTATTAAGAAGCAACAGTGAGTATATTAATCTCTTTAAAAATATCTATGAGCGAACTCCGGGCTCCGATATTATAGATTGCTCGGACAACTATTTTTTTTGTAAAATAAATATGGAATTCATATCGGGAAGAATTCATAAAGAAAAATAACAAAGATCCGACACAAAGCATCCCGACTTCATTTGATCTTATGGACCGGTCTTCGCTGTTGCACGAATGGGCAGGTCCGTCCGGGGAAGTACCACGACCTCACAGAAAACGTAAAAACGAAAGTGTTACACTTCTGTGTTTCGACTGGTGAGTGAGGTTGCCGGGGCCCACTTTATTAAAAGGTGGCAACGCATTTGTAGCCTTACGAGTATTGCGTCCCGTAGCTGCCAGGGCGGCCACGGGCATCACTGTTGCTGCCACAGCATTATCATCATCATTTAACATACCGATGTTAAACAAAATCGTTGTCTTATTTTAAGCGAAATAAGTTTTCTTGCAATACCATTTTAGTGTCAGTTTTGTATAAAAATGTTTCGAACAAAGCCAATTTTGTTTTTATATCAATCTTTAACATTAAGAGCGACCCGCTGTGATAACTTTAATTCTGCGATAATTTGTTTCTCGCTGTACCAACAGCTATGTTTTTTTTTTTGTTATTGTGGTAGAGCTACGCAGCCGCAGTTGTTTAACATCAGGTGAACCCCGTGATCGTTTGCCGATTATTGTCATAAAAAATCTTAAATGAAATATAATTAGTAATTAGCTATGAAGTAAACAAAATGTTTACTAACATTTTAGTTCGAGTAAAAAACATTGTAAATAAAGGATCATCGGGAGTTAAAATTATAAATTGTTTGTTTATAAGCACAACTTTCCGTGCTCTGCTTTGATGTGTTTCCGTTTTATTTACATTTTGTAAGAAAAGCTAACATGAGCGTTGAAACATTTTTGCACTATCATTCCCGTATAATATGCAGTAGTTTTACAGCAGTTTATTTTTCAGTTTAAAAAATATATGGACATTTTAATAAAATATGTAGACATTAAGGTTTGAAAATGTATTAAATCTGAGTTTAAGACTAAAAATTATTTTAGTTTTGCTCCAAGGCTAGGGCCCCGCATTATGAACATTATTTTAGCGATTTGTTCTTGGTCAACCTGACAACCTCGGGAAAGTATAGTATAGTTTTGACTGATATTATATTTAAGGTTTAAAATTGCATTGCACAGAAGTTCAATATTGGTTACAGGTTTGCGCATAGTACTTGGATTGAAAGGAAAGGTTTGTTAGGAATATATAGTTTCCACATGAACACGCGCGATGGTGGAAGCGTCTTGACAATAAATAAGTAAGTGTAATGCCTCTATATTGAATAAACGTATTTGATTTGATTTGATGTTGGTGTTTTTTTTTTTTTGCATGAACCCGATAATAAAATGGGTTGAACCCTTTAAAATTTCTTTTAAACGTCACTTACACGTCCCTATGTGTTGACCATAATAAAGAAGGTTTGATAAGTTAAAGTTGGCGGGTGTCACGTAACATTAGGCGAATCACCAGGTCGATTGCCACCAACTTCTTACATAAAAAAGATACGACACATACGGTAACAAGCAAATGGATTATAAATCAATTATAAACAACGGGAACTCTCGTTCGTTCGAATGCCAGCTGTATCCGTATCCGTATCCGTATCCAATGAGCATTCGAGTATCGATACGATTGAAATTGTACTTGACCGAAAAGCAATAACCAATTCAAACACGCGCGGAACCCAAGGGATGCAGAATCGGTATATTGTACACTTTCCAAATATGTACTACAAGGACATTAGGTATAAATTAAAGACTTTCATTTAAACAAACGGCGTACAAATAAATGACCCGTGGCAATAAAAAAATGGATTTTGATATTCATATAGATAGCAAAGTATTTTGAACTGGAACTGATTTTATCATAGCTAGTAGATGGGCCCATCTTATTGCAAATGGAACTCGCGGCGATGAAATAATGATATCCCGTAATATATATTCTTTACAACATTTACAAGACAATTCTGATTATTGCTAAAGTGAATTTTTGTTTTCCTTTCGAGCGAGGAGGGTTTTCATCGAGGTGAATCGCTCGGTGGATACACAATAAATAGCAACTGGCGCGTGGGCGCTGAATTTACTGCCAAACTGAGATATATGTTACGCGGCCGGAAACTATGACTGCGGAGTAATTCTTAAGATGGGTTATTCAATTATATGAAAAAAAAGTCTTATTAAACTCTTTACTTCTATGCTATAGAGACATAAAAAAAATGACTAAAAAATGACCGAAATGTCTTCCGCTTCTCTCGCTTTTACAAAAATTTTAATGTTTAATCTTATGTGCAGAGATTAGCACTATAAAAATCTAAATTTCAAAAAAGCAATGGCTACATCTCTCGTTCGAATTATCGTTGTAAAACGATATTATAGATAGCATGAACCAAGCATTACTTCAAATGCTACAATGTAGATTAAGGACGTTGAGATTATCGTTTTTGTGGCAATCAGCCGTTTAGCTTAGTGGCTAGAGCGTCAGGGCGCGAGTCCCGAAGACGTGGGTTCGATTCCCACGGCGGCGAAAGTCTTTTCGTTTTTTTTTTTTTCTAAAAAAAATTTAATGTTAAATAAGTGCAGAGATTAGCACTATAAAAAATAAAATAAAGCTCTAATATTTATAAGATAGCCTTTTGAATGTTGACGCTCTATTTTATATTCAAAAAAGGCCGTATTCGAAGTAAGCAAATTGGTTGTTTATTGAGTCGGACATTAATCTACTCATATCAGTTTTACAGTTAAGATGACACATAAGCCAACGAGCTGGGAGTTCTCACAACTAAACTGCGGACCACATTCGTTTTATGATAGACAATGAAAACGAGCCAAAGCATTATTTCATGAATTTATGACCCATGAATAGATAATACTAATAAAGTGTTCTTTGCCTTGTTTATAAACTCAAATATATTTGTTAAATATTTCTATATTCTATACTATCTTCTAAGACGACAGACACGGGCAAGACGCACAACTGATAGTAAACGATAGCAGTTCTGTAGTATTACTTTACTCTATGGATAGCAGCCGTTCATAGACAAGTCATAGACAAGTTCAGTTCTAGTGGGTGCGATATCCTTACTAATATTATAAAGGCGAAAGTTTGTACGTATGGATGGATGTTTGTTATTCTCTCACGCAAATACTGCTGAATGGATTTTAATGAAACTACAAAAAATATAGCTTATATATCAGAATAAGACATAGGTTATAGTTTATAGTCTTTCTGTCTGAATGTTACGCTTTCAGGCTATTCTACGCAGACGTAGTCGCGGGCAGCTAGTTAATCTTAAAGATTGCATGATAACGATTTATCTTGATCATCACCAGATGAGACACAAAACAAACTGCAAAATCTTACTACTTTTATTTATTTTATTTAATTTAAAGTGGGCCCCGGTTACCGCACTCAGCAATACTTCCACTTGACGCCTCTCTTCTGTGAGTTTTAGTGAGTTTACACCCTCGGACGCGCCTGCCCATTCGTGCAGCGGCTTTTGCGTGGCCCTACCACAGTAGAACCACCAGTTCCACCTTTTATGTGATGTCGAATTAAATATTTCGTCGAGATCGCTGAGAAATTAACAAATAATAAATACCAATTCAAAGAATTAGTTTTCACATGAAAAAATATGTATATGCTAATGATTGTATCTTCGCATCAGTCACCTTGCAGTTATAGTGTCTGATTCGTTCGCCATTTCATTACTGTTACCTTAACAAAGCTATTGCAAAAAGCTATTTTTGCTGAATGGTCTTGTTTATAACTATAGGCGTCATTTCACAACCGACTTTAAAAAGGTTGGAGGCTCTCAATTCGGTTAATTTTTTACGTTTATTTCCTCAAAACAACGTCATTATCAAGCGATTTAAAAAAATCATTTTCGGGTTAGGTTTAGCTCCCATATGGCCCAATATTAATTTACCGTTTTATTATGCTCATTTTATTAATATTATTTTAAATGCTAAGTGATAAAAAGTTTATTGAAAAGTTATAGTTATTCTTTTAGTAATTGAAAGGACCCGGAAAGGAAAACGAAATATTTCTTATGGCATTTCCTAAACTACATATTGAGAATTTATTCATGACTTAGCAAGTTTTCTTATTTCGTGACCCTACATATTTGTTTGAACATATGAAACGTGTCGTGATTTGCAAATGCTTTGCCTTCACAAACAAAAAAAAAAACTTACGAAAATAGTGAGCTTAGTATATTTCATCTTGGACTTTCTAGTATGTGGTTATTCGGTTGTTGGTGACCAACAACTCAAAAACAGTTAAATATATATCTACAAAAAACCCCACAGAATATTAAGGTTCAGTCGAATGGGAAGAATAAATTGAAAACTGCCAGATGAGCGTTCAATCGTCCAAGATGGTTTTACTATTGGAAAAAGAGCAACAAATGAGCAAGCAATGCACCTGCGAGTTAGGAGAGTGATCACCACTGTCCATAGATATCGAGATAGGGTTGCGTGTGCGTCGAGGGCTTTAACTTAGCGAGAATTTGAGACACTATGAATATTTGTAACTCACTCGGGTCTGTCGTATGGGCCAAAATAACAGCAGCTTTAATGCATTAAGTTGGGCCACCTCACTTCACTGATCAAGAAGGTAAAGCACAAACACTTTTGACCCCCGTAGGTCACCAGTGAGGCCATGGTGGCACATGCCTCTGGCACGGCGGAGCGGAATGCTTCAGCGGCGGAGTCGTGGCTCGCGAGCGTGAGGCGGCGCGCGGCAGTGCCCCTCCGTTGCTCTTGACAGCCGCACGCCGCGTTACCGAACGCCCTAAGCGCGTCTCTCCTCTCGACGCCTTGTAACCGGACGCAGTGAAGCCGAGCCTAAGGGCCACTCTCCCCTTCACAAGTTTTCCCTAAGGTGCTCAATTGTGCTGTTACACGTGCGTGTCGCATTCACGTCAAACGCATCGCAAACCGATGTTAATATTCCGTAAGTAAAAACGATGAAATTGGATTTGTTCCGCTAGAGGTGTTATTTTTGTTAACGAAGAATGCAAAGAATATGAAACAGCATACTAATTTATGATATTCTGATGTTTTTGAGATTGGTCTATCACTTGTTTTTTTTTTTTTAAAGTTAGTTTCAAATGAGTGATAATTTGTTTAAATAAGTTTATTGAATTAAGTTCCGTGATAAATTTAACTAACATATACTAAGACGGTATCGCAAACGACACGGATATTATGTGCCATAACTTACTCATTAATTTTTCACGAGCGTCTCCCTAAGATTTGCCTGTATTATGGCAAATTTTATTACACTATTACTGCATCCGTACGCTTGGAGAGCTATAACGGCGTTATCGCAATACTGAATGGCTTAACCGGGGACGCCGCGAGCTCAAACGAAACTGTTCTGTGTGTGTACACAGCGTTACTGGGCAGCGTGCAGTCGATGATTAGATGCGAAGATGCAATCACTTCGACCGTGATCTTAGTCCTCAGCCGTCACGGAAGTTTTGGTTGCAATTCTATTTCATTGATAAAAATCTGCTAAAAAAATTAACAAACTGAAAAGTACATAAATGGGCTCATAAATTTCGTTGCCTTTGTTGCATATTTTAATTTATACACGTATGTATGCATTATAATTATTTGTTTATTATGTCTAATTACTGTTAGAACCAATCAATTTTCAACATTTTCCACCGTTACAAATCCGTTTGCAAATGTTACCCATGTGGGCGGATACAATTTCTGACAGTACACAAGAGTCCCCATCCGTTCGACAATAAGTATAGGGAAAAACTAATTGGCGATAAGTATTGGATCGAATAAGCAGATAGAAAAACACCCCAAGAGATTAATTAATGCGGTCCTTACACGCCACGGTGTCATTTACACCTTTGTCATTGTTGTACTGAATATTTATGGGATACAATTAAAAATGATGGTATAAGTGGAAAGGTAGGTTTCTGTTTGATTGTCGAAGCATTTGTCTAGGTCGCACCTTCTTTTATCTACACGGTAATACTTAACAACATCGGCACTGATATCATATTAAAAAAATGCACAAAATGCTCTTATTTCAGGTTATTCAACTTTATAACTATGTCTTCATTAAAGTAATATAACAAAAACGAATTGTGTAAAAATATATTTCATTCAAAGACTTTTCTATGCCTTCGCAAGCGTGTTAGAATTAAGCATCAACGGATGTTTGAGTAGATTGATCGGTATTAGCTCTTAGCTCAAGAACTCTGCTTAATAGAGAATTGTTATCAAAACTATAAGTATTATCTACAAGCCAGAGCAGTCGAATACATTGATTTAGAAAACGTTAAATAAAGTCGCTGTGATAGTACAAGTGATTGATTGAGCTTAAAGCATCGTCAAGATGATAGGCGATATATATATAAAGCCGGATGTATATATAAGGTCGGTCGGTAATCAGGCGGCCCCGAAACAGAAGGCCGTGGTTCGTGTCACGATCATTTACACATTTATTTTTTTACTTTTTTTTCGAATCCTGATCATTGCTTTCTTTATTTTTAATTTTTTGTCGATTTTTTATTCTGTTATGTTTTTCCCTTTTTTTAAAGTTCTTTCTTTTGTGAAAAACATCAGTTCATATTATTACGTCGGTAAGATCGAAAAATATTATGCATATTTCATTACTCAGTTATTTGCATCTAAATGTAATTTCCAAAACACACGATTTACCAAAAAAAAAAAAACAAACCGAGCAAAGCTCCGGTCCTCCAGGTACTATATATTAAAAATATATTTATCATAGAAAGTTATATTTGATAATAATTTAACGAGGTGCAACTCACTTGTATACATATGAGTGTTCCAAAAAATCTTTAGCGACTGTGTTTTTTAATAATAACACCTGACCATTGTCACATGAACACTGAATTACATTCCTTTGAAATTTGAGCTGTTATATTTGTGGTAATGCTTCGGTTTATTCGCCATTAACCAATGCAATCGATCAAATCGAAGAAGACAGATCGGACGGATACGAGGCACGTTGGGGAATATATAAAGTTTAAGCTAAATATTATATATATTCATTATATTTATTATAGCTAAATTAATTATTATATTAATAATAATATTACTTATATTATAGCTAAACTAATATTAATTATATTATACTATATTAATTATACTAATATTAATTATATTATAGCTAAATATTATATATATTTAGCTTAAACTTTATATATTCCCCAACGTGCCTCGTATCCGTCCGATCTGTCTTCTTCGATTTGATCGATTGCATTGGTTAATGGCGAATAAACCGAAGCATTACCACAAATAGGGAAATATAATTTTTCAACATTTGGAACAGTCCCTTAAAAGTATATGTTCACTTTATGCACGGGCGTTTGCATAAAGTGAACATAACAAGGGCACTGGATTTGAAATGAACTCTCCGATTCCAAATGGCCCCACAGGGCTGCTACTGCGAATTGAAATAACATTGTCAAGACGGAGTTCCACTTAAGCAGGAGGAATGGGGTGTTGCCTTTGCGGGGGCAACGGCGGAGCTTACTACAATAACATAAGCGTTGGAGCAATGTAACTCAATCATAATCCGCAACTCAAACACTTCCGCTCCATCTGCCCCAGGCCTCGGCCGCCGCCCGCGTCCTTGCGGCGGCGTCTTGCTACAAATCATTACAGCAATGCAAATAACCGCTCCGCAGCCTATTTAGTTAAATGGTCGCTTTCGGGCTACCTTTTTCCACTTAAATCGGCTATATAATAATCTTGGCGTAGTATATTGTGCGTAAACAGATCGTTATAATTTTTGATGACTCCGTGGCGCAGTCACCTAGGTATTGGCTTCGGCGTCGGGGGTCGTGAGTTCGATTCCCACACGGGACAACTATTTGTGTGACCCACAAGTAGTTGTTTCGCAACTGGGTGTTAGTTTGTAAAACGTCCTTACAACACAGGATAATTTTAACCTAAAGTAAGGACAATGTTTTGTAAAAAATATAAACATAAAAAAACTCCATTAACTCCTTAATTTTACTAAAAGTTATTTGAAATGTTTTTACTGCTCTGACTTTGGATATTCGTGTCTCTGACAAATACCACGGGGATTGTCCATCACATACTGTCAGCAGAACGTAAAAAGCAATTTCTATTATTAGTTTTTTTAGTACAGTAGAAACCAAAAATGTTAATTTAAAACTCTTTACTTAGTTATTTTATCCAGTATTTTGAGCAGTGCAGTGCAGTCCGTAACCTGAAACAACACCAGTTCATAACCAAAATCGACAGTAAATGTTGGATATCACCCAATCCATGCCTGAAAGTAGTTAATAGAAGTCATCCTGCCATAAACTACTATCAGGCCTTCATTAACACACATCATACGTACGCATTTAAAGCGTACGTGTCATGTCATAAAACGAATGTAACATCTCTGTGAGCAGTATTACCTGCAGCGAAATTGAATGTCATGACAAAATACAGTAAAAAGTTTATAGGGTTCAGCGGTTATAAAAGTGAGCACGTTAACAGCTTATTTAAGATCTGACGTCATTGTACCAAATATGTTTGGAGACAACACCTACGAGGAACACTTTGTGCGGATTATTTATTACACGATATAAAAAAATGAGTGCTTTATTGTGTTACGGATCATTCCATAACCGTCTTTTATACACTAATCATGATCTCCCCTACAAATTAATAGGGGTTTCGTTAATACTTTAAGTGGTAGTACATGTACGTGATAACACGATTGAGTAAAACAGTTTATTTATAGCGTTTATTTGGGGTACAAAAAGCATTTGTAAGGTCCCACTTCTGTAATTGATAACTATATCAGCGTCCATAGAGGCAGCTAATATTGATATATGTATAAGGTCCCTCTTTGTATATTTCTCAATACGAGAGAAGTTTTTTTTTTTATAAAATGGAAGCAAATATACAATATAATCTGAAATGCAAATTCAATGTCTACATGGATGCCGGAATGTCTAAAGTTGCCGCCTTGCCAACTGCTATTGAGCGCTGTTGCGACTCCAATCCCCTCACTGCACAGAAATTGAAGTGATTCACAAATAGTTATCACGAGTCTGGATGTAAGTACTTTCTTTGAGAGATTCATGTTTGGGAAACAAGCAACAATTAATTCCTATTGCGAGAGTCGCAAAAAAGAAGATACATCAATGTACTATAGGCCTAAATCATCAACAATTTAATTGGCGTAGTTGCCCAGCAGAAACCACTGCTCAATGCCACGCTTGGTATCAATTACTGCCACATGGAGAGTATCATGCGCAATGTAACAATTAGCAAGCATCACTGTATCTAAATAATTGTTTGGCGTGCCACATGATAATGAAACTGGATATTCTTCTGTATTTAAATAATTCTGTAACTTAAAAGTATTCTCTACTAATGTCCCAAATGCTTACTACTTATTTTCAATATTATAGAGAAAAATATTTCATTTCAACAAGGGGAAAATGGAAGAAAGATAATAATAATAAAATTATTCGTCTATAGTCTCACATACCTCCACAGAATTAATAGTTTACAACAAAGTAGTTGCAAAGCATTTTACTGAATTCAAATATATGATCACAAGTAAAATATTTGTTTAAATATGATTAAATTACAATAATTTTGATGCAGAAAACTTTCCTCACAAATGAGTTCATAGATTAACTAGTTAATTAAGTTTTATAAAGGCCAGTATAATGATAAGACTCGTTTATCTTTTAAAACGGCTCCGCAGATATTAAGCTAGATGGAAAAAAATATAAAAGGTCGCTCTTTGAAGTTGGACAAATCCTCCAAACCATCCTAAAAGAGCACACCGGTGGTTGGCTTAGCGGTGGCTTAAACTACACATTGTCTTATACAGAGCCGTGAGAAGTTTTTTATCTGGTTTGAGTACAGAATTACCTGGACATTGAAATTCCATAATAAGGGATTTCATATTTCCTTTTCTTATCCTGCCTTTGAATTAAAAAGCAACAATAATGGCCTCATCATTTTTGAATATTCGTTTTGTAATAAATAAAATGAGAGCAATTTTTATACGTTCACGTTTATTCTAATGATTTTTAATAAAAACGGTAAAAACTCGGTTCAAAAACTGTTGCCGCGCAGTTAATAAATCTCATCGCCACTTCGTGATAAGATACAGTTTAATCGAATTCGCCAATGGCTACGGCGCGACCGCTCCATTCCGTTTTAATTAATCAGAGGTCTGTTGTCTTTCATCGAGTGGGCTAACAATTTGGCTCTAAACAAGTATGCAATACTCTTACTGCAGACATTTTTTCAATTAATTTCATTTATTGATTCATACAATTTCGTATTTATGCAAAGAAATGAATTAGGCTAATAATTACTATCAAAGTTTTTATAAGTATTGATATAATCTGTGTTATGATTGTTATTTAAGTATAAGCTCTTTTTCTCCTTGTAATTTGAATTATATTACGGTAAATATATTTTTCATAATTGCTTTCCTAAATTAGAGACTGTCGGCTTTAGTACAAATTATGCTCAGTAAGCTTACTTATTTACAAGCAGATCTCACAAATTCTATTTTTATTTCAACGTTTTTATAAAGACATTTAAATTTCTATTGAGTTAAAGGAATTTCCAAAGCATTTACATATTTAAAACGTTTGAGTATCACATTAGTTTATTAAAATATGATTTAAATGTTTTATCCAGTTGTAAAAGCCGAAATTAAAAACCAAAGATATACCAACCATCTCATTATCTTACATATGATATTTTATATGTATTTTCAGTAAGTATGAGAATAGGTTTATAACTAATTTTTATACCCCTAAATGATAAGGGTGGCCCACCCCAAACATTTTTTTCTACCCTACAGCTAATTTATATGGCAATACAACGTTTGCCGTGTCAGCTAGTAATATATACATATATTTGATGTTTCGAAGATAATGTAATAAATATTATTATTATTATTTTATCCTATCATTAATCTTATTTAAATTTCGAGTTTCTTTTCAATTGTTTAGGAACATTTTTCAAGGTTAAACTAACATTAATTATATAAGTTTATTGTCCAAAGCCAATTAGCAGATAATTGTCTGAAGTCAAGTAATTTCCGAAATGAAATGGGAAAAATGCATGTTGTTCAATTGAGGTCTGTCACCTAAGCTCTTAGCTCTTAGCTCTATAAAAACTAAACCAAAAGAGAAAACTTCGCCACATTCGTTTCGGACTCGGAAACAGATTGCTTAGAAATTGTTTGTATATTTGGAATGTCCGCGGCGAGAATGGAACGCAAATACAATGTGCCCATTCTGTATTGTGCTGCTATTTTCTGAATGTCCACATTACTACAGCGTTGGCTATTTGCGAATTGTTTCTAAACTTACCCGCCGCGTATGACTAATCCATCACTCCGTCATTGTTGATGAGGATATCTGCCACGTTATTTCATCCTTTGCGATATCCCGTAACTTTGCTGCATGACGCAAATCTTACAGAATGCTTAGCATTACTACTAACTACCTAACCTAACTACTAATATAAAGATAGTAGCTCATCATCGTCATTTTCCTGTTTATAAAAAAAAGGAGCAAAGAAAAGATTTTTTTATTATCTTTTAAAAAACGTAACCCTTACTTTAGGATAACATTATCCTGTGTTGTAAGGACATTTTACAAATATAAATTTCACGAGGACAAATCCATATGCGAAACAACTCTCTGTGGGTCACACAAATATTTGTCTCATGTGGGGATCGAACCCACGACCCCCGACGTCGAAGCCAGTAGATTCATTTCATTACTAGTTGGGAATAAAAAGGCTTTACAGGAATTAGTGATTACAGTAAACCATAAACACTATAGAGTATAAATTTTACCAATCATCAATATGAGTGTGATGACATATTAAAGTAATAGTAATTATGATATTTGCATAAATAATAAATTACTATTATTATTAATAATCTATAATGTTATTTTGATACTTGTTTAAGAGTTAAATTTCACGCTATGTCAAGGTCAATGTAAGACTTTATCGATCCCTGTGTCGCAGATGGCCGTGATGTGAAAATGAAAGCATATCCCACTTGTAGCTATAAAACTCATTAATAAACTTCGCATCAAAAATATGACTACTTAAGGCGGTGTATGCAGTAAAAATAGGTTTTTCAAAAAAAATTTTAACAAAATCTATACATTTTGTAGAAGCAAAAAAAAATATATGTTAATCTTGGTCTTACATTCTAATGGATCATTGTTTTCAAAACATATTCTCGATATATTTTCTCAATAAAAAAAAATCACGAACCTACCTCTAAACGTGAAATTCAAATAAAAAAATATACATAAATAATGAACAAATCTTAATGAAATTAATATCAATTATTCTACACCAGAATATATTAATAAAAAGGACTATTCATTTGTTGATTGAAGTAAGATATTTGTAAATATTAATTTAATTCATTAAAATTAATTCGAACGCGATGGCCAAAACACCGCGCCACCGCGGCGTTGTTCGGTTCTCTTCCAACTCCACACGTTGAAATCTTCGTGCAATATTTTTTTTCCCAAGCGTCCCAAGTTGTCACGGTCAAATGGTTTTCAGTAATTAATAGAGCCGTGATAACTTAGCGTCCGGGCGCTCCTTTATAATTCAATATGCTGGGCAATC